CTTTAACAATAGCACTGTATATAAGCACTTTAATGGCACTGTATATAAGCACTTCAACAATAGCACTTTATATGAGCACTTTAACAATAGCACTGTGTATAAGCACTTTAACAATAGCACTGTATATAAGCACTTTAACAATAGCACTGTATATAAGCACTTTAACAATAGCACTGTATATAAGCACTTTAACAATAGCACTGTATATAAGCACTTTAATGGCACTGTATATAAGCACTTCAACAATAGCACTTTATATAAGCACTTTAACAATAGCACTGTATATAAGCACTTTAATGGCACTGTATATAAGCACTTCAACAATAGCACTTTATATAAGCACTTTAACAATAGCACTGTATATAAGCACTTTAACAATAGCACTGTATATAAGCACTTTAACAATAGCACTGTATATAAGCACTTTAATGGCACTGTATATAAGCACTTCAACAATAGCACTTTATATAAGCACTTTAACAATAGCACTGTATATAAGCACTTTAACAATAGCACTGTATATAAGCACTTTAACAATAGCACTGTATATAAGCACTTTAACAATAGCACTGTATATAAGCACTTTAATGGCACTGTATATAAGCACTTCAACAATAGCACTTTATATGAGCACTTTAACAATAGCACTGTGTATAAGCACTTTAACAATAGCACTGTATATAAGCACTTTAACAATAGCACTGTATATAAGCACTTTAACAATAGCGTTGTATATAAGCACTTTAACGCAAGAAGATCAGAGGAGATATAAAGACAAGCTAAACATAAGTATATGAGACCGAACTGAACAAATCCAAAGCCCAGATGAGACCTGGGATGACGAGAGAAAACATTGGTCAGACTCACCTCTGTCTTGGCTCCGATCTGCTGGGACTGGGACTCAGAGACATTTATTCTTACTTCATAGAAAACATGGGACCCTTCACTCTGGAAGGGTCCGTGGTGAAAATCCATTTCTCGCGTTTTTCACGGCGGTAAAGTGGCCCGGCATTTCACACACAGAAGTCTTCCGACTGTATTGTTCCTCCAAGATATTTGAATTCTGTCACGATTTGAATTTTTTGATCGGAAACTGAGATATTTGATTTTGAAAAGAACAAACCAACCGTTTTATTGACATTGAGCTTTAGGCAGCACTGATTTAACCAATTTGTGATGTGAACCATAGACTGTGGTAGTTTTACGGCAGCTTGTGAGGGGTTTTTGGCGTGTATGTAAATCACGGTGTCATCGGCGTACATTTGAACATTTGCATCTGGGCACACTAATGTGGAATGGAAGGTCGTTGATGTAGAGTGAGAAGAGTAGTGGGCATGTCACAGGAATACAGACACCAACAACCCATCACAAAATAAGTCTATATGCTGATGATATACTACTCTACCTGCAGCAACCATACACCTCACTTACAGAAACAATAGGAATCATAAAGGCATACTCCAACATCTCAGATTACAGCATCAACTTTCAAAAATCAGTTATTCTCCCAGTGGGGGGTGGTTGGGATGTGACAGCCCATACCCCTCCTTTCCCTATCAGCACGGCTCATATAACATATCTTGGTATCAACATCTCATCCAGGCCATCAGACTTGTTACACTTAAATTTCACTCCAATCATCAAAACAATAACAGACAATCTCAACCGTTGGAATAGTCTTCCACTATCTCTCATTGGCCGTATTGCTGTAATAAAAATGTCTATTCTTCCCAAAATCAATTACCTTTTTTCCATGATACCAACACCGCCCACTCAATCATGGTTTAAATCTCTGGAGTCAATTATCACATCATTTTACTGGAAAAGTAAAACACCTAGAATCAAACTCTCCACCCTGCAAAAATCAAAAGCACAAGGAGGACTAGCGGCACCAAATTTTCTTCATTATTCTTTAGCTATACAGTTGCAATATATTTACAAATGGACTCACCCTGACCCATCAGACAGCACTTGGCGGGAAATAGAAGAAGCATTTTGTCACAATATCCAAATCTCAGACTTACCATTTCTTAGTAATTCAGTCAAACGCTCCCCATGCTTCAAAACCTCAACAATATCCACAACTCTGATGGCCTGGTGGAAATTTCAGAAAATTACTAACTGCACTCTATCATCATCTGGTCTCACACCCATCTGGAATAATCCTGACCTGCTAATCAACAAAAAACCTTTTCACTTCAGCACATGGGCAGAGAGAGGCATCACACACTTGCAGCACATCTTTCAGGACAACATACTGGTTTCATTTCCATGCCTGGTCCAGAAGTTTGGCATCAGGAGCACACAATACTTAGAATACCTACAGTTACAATCTTCAATTAACTCAGTATACAAAAACATAAATCTTGACCTTCCTTCAGCAGTCTCAGAGCTGCTAAACATAAGTACAAGGAAAAAACGTACAACTATTATATACAAAATCATAGCTAGCTCAGATCAGACAATATCACTCCCATATCAAAAATGGGAAAGAGACTTAACGCTTGCTCCTGATGCCAACTTCTGGCCTCGCGTTTGTAATAATATCCATAACATGTCAAAAAATACAAATCTACAATTAATACAGTACAAGATAATACATAGGACTCATTTCACAGCACAGAAACTCTCAAAATTTACTTCGATCTCGGATACATGCACCAACTGCACACAAAGTACAACAGACACCTACATTCACGCCACATGGTTCTGTTCACCTGGTTTCCTTTTCTGGAGACAGGTGACAGAATCACTCTCTGCCCTCCTGGATTGTCACATCCCACTCTGCCCATCCCTCTGCATACTGGGAGATACAGCATCACTAACACTCAGCCCATCTGACACTAAAGCTTTACTGATTGCACTAACCATCGCCAAGAAATCCATACTCATTAACTGGAAATCAAAAACTAAAATAAGCATTAACCAATGGAAAAATGTATTGTCTAATTATACGGTAGAGTCACATTCAAACATCTTCAATGAACTGTTTTTCTGACCAACTCCCTCAGGGCCCCTCTCACTCTTACTTTGACCAACAGAACACCCACATACACCTGAACATTGCTGCGGTTGTCACCTACACCATCTCCATTATCATCATCACTAATATTGCTATTACGTTTTTATCATCATGATTGGTCAAATGTGGTCATTACCATACTCTTAACAATTTAATTATTGGCATTATTTTATTACATATCATTTGAAAGGAAATGATAGCTTCTTCCCCCTACCTTCTCCTGTCTTTTAATGCATCACATTAGAGTAGCACTGAAATGTCTTTATAAATACACATAGGGCCGGTCGGACGTGGGGGAGAAACCCACTTCGGGACATTCCCTCATGTCTGCCTTTTAATGCAAAATAATACACTTTAAATAGGGAAGGGGGGACGGTGGAGGGAAGATAGCAGTACACCATGAAATTATGAATTATTGTTACTGTTACTGTTATAATAGAGATGGTAATAAGTGATTATTATTATTATTAATAAGATTGTTGTTATTATAATTATTTATAATCTCCAATTAAAGACTCAAATAGTTTTTGATCATGAGGATTTATGTGGATTATTATTATTGGTGGCGATGGTGATAATGTGTGGATGACAATAATATTGTATCTGTATTTCAATTACCTTCACACACACACACACACGTACACAAACAATCACAGAATACCTCCCTCAGTTACTACTAATTTCCTTGATTTGTTATTGTCTTATTTGTTGTATATTTTTTGTTTGTTTTGTATTTTGTCAACATCAGTCTTAGGGTTATCTTTCTGACTTTTATGTTGTTATTGTTATTGTATTGTTTGTGTAAATGTTGCATAATAAAAAATAAAAAAAAAGAGTAGTGGGCCTAAAACGGAAGGCAAGGCAAGGCAAGGCAGGTTTATTTATATAGCACAATTCATACACAAGGCAACTCAAAGTGCTGAACAAAACAAGAAAGAATTAAAATCATAAATAATCACAGTACATTAAAAAAAATGTTTAAAAAAAAAGATAAAAATATAAAATCCCTCAGTTGTATGCACAGCTAAACAGAACCGTCTTTAACCTGGTTTTAAACATTGTCAGAGAGGAGGCCTGTCTCACAGACAGTTCAAGGAACCTTGTGGGACACCGGTGGACAATGGGAGAAAGGGGGAGCAGTGATTATTGATCCTGCCAGACTGTACGTGATTTGGTTTGAGAGAGAAGAAAAGATGGGTGATATATTCTTATATATATTAAAAATGTTAACTTTTTGACATTTTTGATTTTACTAATTCAAAGAATGCAGCCTTCACAAGAATACCTACAAAGTTCAACATTTAGGAGCTCTCATCATAACAATCCTGATTTATTAGGTTTTTAAAATCGGGATCTACAGCTTCAGTCCTGGGTCTACCGCCTCGGTCCTGGGTCTACAGCCAGTCTAAGGACAGTGTTCATCCCACTACCTATGGACTTATAGCTTTTCCTGTGTTTGAACTGTTTGATTCTGTTGTCGAATCCACAATTTGTTGCAATTTAGCAAAAATAATTGAAAATGAAAAATGTATATATTTTGTGTCTTGGGGTCTTCAATATGACAGAATATAAAGGAGTGACTAGAACAATAGTATCTTTACTTCACTGTACTGCTGTCACCTTACATTGTGTGCACCATGTGCACTTGTATATTGTAAATAGTAACTGTAACTCTATTTTAAATTTAAATTTATTCTTTAGAAGTGTTTTTTATTCTTATTTTTATTATCTCTTTTTGACTGTTGCACTGAGCCAAAGCAATTTCCAAGTCTGTGACCTCCCGTTACTTACGTTGGCAATAAAAATGATTCTGATTCTGATTCTGATTTTTATATATATGAACTACAGTATATCCGCCTCGTGACGTCATCTGTAGGCGGAGTCTGCGCAGAGTGCAGTGCACTGCTCGCGCTTCCGCTGCCATTAGCTCCGCTGCCATTAGCACCGCTGCTAAAGCTAACACACACAACACACAAACATGTTGGAAAAGAGGCGCAGTCTGCTGAGGTCTGCGGTGACCGAGCGACTGACTGCGGCTGCGGAGGAGATCTTTGCCCTGGTGGAGCAGACGATAGCAGAGTATGAGGAGGAGGTGATCCGAGGCAAGCAGGGGAACCAGGACGAGAGCCAGAGAGCCCGGGAGAGAGCGAGCCAGACCCGGGAGAAAGCGAGCCAGACCCGGGAGAGCGAGAGCCAGACCCGGGAGAGCCAGACCCAGCAGGAGGAGAACCAGCCGCAGGAGAAGGAGGCCAACGCAGAGACCCAGGACCTCCCGTCTCAAGGTGCGTTCACAGCGGGATCAGGATGTGTTTGAGCTGCTGTGATCAGGGCCGTCACAAACCCGGGACTCGATACTAATCCTGGTAGTTAGCCTAGCCTTAACCCCAAACTCACACATCATCCTCCCCGTGTCATGACCGAGGCACATGTAAAGATATATATACAACTATAAACTCGTATTTCCCTTCGCCTGAGACGAAATGCCAAGATCTCAGTCCTAGGGGCGAGAGCGCGTGCGCCGTTGTGGCAGCCATTTTGTGCGCCCAATGTGGTGACGTCACGATTTCAAAAGTTCGATGAGAGAAATACCACACGTGTCAGACATTAACTCATTGTTCCTTTGTCCAACACGTTACAACTTCTACGTCACTTCATCCAATGGCAAATCCAACAGAAATAGTCTTGTAAATGTTATGTTATGAACAGTGGCGGAGCCAGACTTTTAAACAGAGGGTGGCAAGGTTTTTTTTAAGGGGTCCACATTCATACTATTCATAAATGTTATTTCACACAAAAACTGGCTAAACGATACATTTTAATCTTAATCTTATGTTTATTCTTTATATAAAGTGAACTGAGAGCACACTTGGAAACTACAAAGAAAAAAAGTGTATTTAAACAGTAGTCTGAACAAAAAAAGTACAAAATGACATCATTCAAACATTGCATTTCATTTTTCTTTTAACAAATTTAGCAAATTCTTGCGGTTCTGGTGTAAAGCAGCAAAGATGTTGACAAACTCATCCATATTGAGTCCTGAGCCTCCTTTACCCTACACTGAGGATACCAAGATAACTCGGTCATCTGCCATAGTTCTGAGATGGTCTTTAATAAGATTTAGGGCAGAGAAACTTCTTTCACAAGACGCAGTACTGACAGGTATTAAAAAGATCTTTGCAAGCCTCAAAAGCTCATGAAACACTTTTTAAACGTTCCAAAAGGACAAGGAAGTCCATTAGGCACTCTCTAATCCATTTTTTCCTCCCAAGAAGCCGCCTAGTTTGACGTACCTCATACCTCGTCTATATCTGACTGAAAGGTTCTGCCAAATGAAAACAGGGGCTCTTCTTTAAAAAATATTTTGGGGTCAAGCGACTGCACTCTATCCATAATCTTAGCTTCTTTTGTTTGTTTTTTTTTGTTTGTGTGAAAAAAACGCCTCTATAATTCTGCCAATAGACAATCCTGCACCTGTCTGTGACTCCCTCTGAAACTGAATAATGTAAGCTATATTTTAATACAACACAACAAATTCCTCATCATCTCAAAACATACTGCCTCCGAGTCTGACCTTCAGGTTTCATCATCCTGATCTACAGCCTTTTCTTTACAAAAAAAGAGGCAATGTCTCCTCCTTTTCTTTTAATGTTTACACTAAAGGGAAGAGGGCGATGATACGATGGGCAATTATTAATGGAGAATACACACGCATGCACACCCGCACACAAACGCAGGCACGCACACGCAGGCACGCAGACACACACTTACACAGGCGCGCATACAGGCACTCACAGACACACACACACACTAAATGTACTACAAACTGAACAAGTAATGCGCTGCAGTACGTGTGTCTATACTTTGTGTCAAATGTAAACGGTTGGCTCTGCGTCGCTAACTTACCTCTTTGTTTTCATCACGACTTGGGCACATGTGAGTCCAACAACCCAAAGCATTAGCATACAGCACCGGCTCCACGGAGTCAGGGTGCGTTCACAGACGGGGGAAACCGTGGGAATGTTTAGTTTTTGGCAGAAAAAGTGCGGAAGATTCTCAAGATTAACAATATTACATTGCCGTCTTCCGAGGGGGGCACTGGGGGTGGCAAGGGTATTTTTAGAGGTGGCAGTGGCCACCCTGGCTACCCCTCTGGCTCCGCCACTGGTTATGAATAGAGCTGCAGCTATTGAATATTTTGGTAATCGATTATTCTATCGAATACACTGATCGATTAATCGAGTAATCAAGAGAAAACAAATACTATATCAAACCGTTTTAAATTGTATACAGTTTATTGTATGATATTATCAAATGAAAACAAGGCATCGGCGATTGCACCTGTACCACGGTTGATTTTTGAGTCCTTCCAGATTGAACAAAATCAGATGAGGCATGTCTCTGAGCAGCATATTTCAAATATTATCCGTCAGAACAGCTGCTGGTGCTGGTGCAGGGAGCAGGAACTGGTCCTAAACAGGCTCTGATGGTTCACTGAAAGACAGGGAAAAGCAGACGTTAATTGTCAATCCCACACCTCTTCCAGATTCAGTATGTCCTACTTTACACTGCTGACCTCACATGTCGTTCATATCTGCAATAATTATAATATGTAATATAGAACCACATGTGTCACATGTGTCTAACTATATATTTCTGCGCTATACAATACTACACTACAGCATTTTATACATGTTTTAATATTAGAAGTAAGAGCTTTTATTTAATTATAGTATATTGTTATTGTTCACATCTCTTGTGCTGTGTGCTCCTCATTCCTACAGCTCTAACTGCTGATGGATCTTGGTCCACAGTGTTCATACCATAGACTGTATATATTAATTATATATTGTTCATACAGGCATATTAATTATATACAGAGTTCAGATAACTTGTGGAGTAGTATAATACCCGTTGGCACTAGGATTGTAGTGAATGTCAAATTAAGTAAAACATTCATAACACATGTGTTATGTAGGTAATGATAAACCTGCTTCATCACTGCGTTAACAAATGAAAGGCTTAATGTAGCCACAAGCGGCTACATTGATAGTTTTCAACCATGCCGCTTTGGCAGCGTGTGACTGTTCGCGGGAAAACCTCTCTGTGTTATCATCAACATTTTACTTTCACAACGCGTGCCTTACACCATAACATGAAAGTCGACTTACCTTGTCTCGGGTCTTCCCTCGGTGCTTCCTCGTCAGGTGCTGCAGCATCAACCTGGTGTTATCATGAGATGCTAACTCCACTTAGCAATGTGTGCTAACTTCTCCTGTTCAGTGTTCAAAAAGAAGTGTTCCCACACTTTAGACGCTTCTTATTAACTCTCCAGTCTTTGCCAGAGCCTTCTCCGTCGTCCTTCATTGATATTATAATAGATCAATGCATTATCCGCGAAAAAGTTTTCCAAACACTAGTGATGCATATGGACCATGCAGACCGGGGCTGTGTAGAGCAGGACACGTGACATAAACATATTGCGCAACACAAAAAGAATCTGCGAAACGTGAGAAAAGTCTATGGAGCAAACAAGGCAAAATGCTGCGAGTAAACTACCGTATACGAATACTCGAGGCAGCGGAAATCAAACAAATATTTTTAATATTCGAATTATTCGAGTAATTAGATTAATCGTTTCAGCTCTAGTTGTGAACAAGACCACAGCATGCTGTCTTCATCTTACTAGAAAACATTCTTTTTCGCAAGAAAGAGCCCTGTGAGTCACTGTCTGACTCTTTGGGCTGACTGTTGATTGGCTTCTGTCTGAAAAAGCAGATCTAACGCCCTGTTTAGACAGAGACTGTGCAAAGCAATTGGCAAAAACAACCAGGCTCCTTATTCAAGTGCACAGAGTCTACATGACAGAAAACTATGTAGTCCTAGCGCCTGGCCAGAAGAGGGCAGTGGAACGTGTAACTCAGAGCATAAGAACCACTTCTTCAACAACATCCTCCTCAGGGAAAGAACCAACATGATTTTGCATTTAAAGGAGCGAAACCATGGATTTTTAATAGTGATGTAAATCAGTGACCTTTAAACTCTGCTCCTTTCCTTCCTCTGACTCCGCTCTGCTGCTCTGATGAGCAGCTCTGATCGGTCTGAGCGCGGCCGGGGGTGCTGTGGTACTGCAGACTAAATTCACGAGGGCTACTCAGAAAAAAGTTCCATAGAACTCAATGTATATTAAAACAGCACAACCTCAGCTGAGAACCCGACAGAGAACCCGACAGAGAACCCGACAGAGAACCCGACAGAGAACCCGACAGAGAACCCGACAGAGAACCCGACAGAGAACCCGACAGAGAACCCGACAGAGAACCCGACAGCTTTCATAAAGATCGGATTTTGTGGGGATTCTAGTGTCCCTTGTCATCCTGAATTTTTTTTCTTCTTAAATCTTTCGGTTTTCTTTAAATCCACACTTTACTGCCACAAACTCTGCTCCTTTCCTTCTCGCTCTGACTCTGCTCTGCTGCTCTGATGATCAGCTCTGATTGGTCAGAGCGCGGCCGAGCCCCTCTGTGCACGTGCATGAAAGTCACACACGCAACGTTTGGCGTGACGCATTATCTCCCATAATGCGTCACGCCAAACGTTGCGCTAATCCACGGCGCAGAACCGGGAGGACCAGACGATGCCCAAATATAGGTGAGTTCTGCTAATCTCCCGGTCTCCATGAAGTCCCATGAACTACTGAGCACAAGCCATTCATTTGAATAGGGCGCCATCTTGGATCAGCGGGGCTTGGGCTAAACCTGTTTCTACAGGTTTTTCTCAGTTTCTCAGTTTAGCACCCCCCAACTCCCTCACAGGCTTCTCATTTCCCCTACGCTCTCATCCCACAAAGCCATCTAGTCGTATTTGTGATCTGATATGTATGCTAACGTTAGCATTAGCTCAACTTTTTATAAGCTGTACAACAATCACTGATGAAATGGCACAAAAGCAACGCACTGCTAACAAAATATATAACTGAAAGATTACCGCTAGTTTTTTCCGAGGTCTCTCCAGAGGATAAGATGTAAGCTAATGCTACAGGCTTGATTTCTTCTTTGACCATGTTTTGGCTTTAGTTCCCTCTTCTCTTCCTCACTGTTGCGTCGTGTGGGCTGTTTTTCTGTGTCTGCAGTTACAGCCAGAGGAGCTATAGCCGCTATCAGCTAACATGCTACTGTTTTTACCTGCGCTGTAGACGCTAGAGGAGGCGTGGCCTGTTCGTATCAGCGTCACACTATGTTTCTACTCTGCACTTGTTACGGCCTGAATTCATACAAAGCTGAAT